TACTACACTTTATGTGACTTTTACTTGACTGTAATAATCATCCTCGATGTGTTTATAGTATTAACTTAAATATTATAATTGATATCATATGCTTTCATTTTAATCTGAATTATGTAACTACAGTATATGTTGTCAACACTTTAACGTCTCTAATATATTAATTTAATCATTATAATCGTAATCTTATGCTTTCCACTTAAATTGAATGTAGTAAATACATAATCCAACGTATATATATGTAAGTGGATTCCCATCAGCATTAGCTTTAGTATCATGCTATAGATATATTATACTATTATATAATATATCTCTAGTAGCTCTACCCATAGGTATAGTAATACTATAGATCGCGAGGCAGGCGGTAGCGAGAGCGAAGGTTGTTATCCCTAACTCAGCAATAGCAAGGATTGTTAATAGTTCACCAGCAAGAGAATAATTTTCAAGTAATAACTATCATTTACAAAGACGAGGTCAATCTATATACATGATAATGTTCAAATTATATAGAAAAGGGGCTCTAGTGTAGAATTGGGTGCCCCTTCAAAATTTTGAGTGCCCCGACAATTATTTTTTAAATTTTGGCAATAAAACCTCATTTCTGGTTACTATGATAGTTTTAACTTTGTTTTAGATTCCTGATTTTTTTTTAAATGGAAATAGACTGATGTGTACATGGACAAATTTAAGACAGTGCGCAATGCCTAATTTGTGCAATTCTGGGCCTTTTTTTATGTGAAAACAGATAGATGTGTACATGGACACAGAGTTTGTGCAGTTCTTTGACTTCTTATTTTTGGTTTTGTGTAGCGGCCATCTTGAAACTGTGCCTTCCTGGAGCCAATCTTGGCGTCAAAAAAAGATCGCCAAAAACAATTGACACCCAATTGTAAACTTTTACCAAGTGGGGATTTAATCATGGTTCTAATTGCAAGCGAGGACGTGTAATTAGTTAAAAAATCTTTAATGTATTGACAAAAAGGCTACAGGAATTAATTCTTTTATTTAACTCAGGAATTTTTATTTAAGCTTAGACCCTAGTCTAATTTTATCATAGCATAGGACTGTCAGAATTTATTATTCAATAAGAAAACTTACTAAACATTGTAATATTTCTTATATATTCATAACTCTTTCAGTATCCACACATATCTATAGGTTCAAATTCCATATTTCAAAATCAAAGTTATTTATGAAATGAAACCTTATATAATCTGATAAATCATTTGTGTGCGCAAATTTTGAAATCTAAATCTCTTACATTAAATTATTTCTGTCTTTTTAAATTAGATCCCATTTTAAATTTTCAATTTAAGTTATTAATGTGTTTGTACTAATATTTCAAACTTCTTTGAAATACTTTTTGTGTCCTGAAAATGCCAAGTATTTCCATAAAAAATAGTTAATAACCAGTATTATATGGTTAATTATTCATTTAATAGTTGATTTAATGGCTTTAAACTTATTTCATGCCTAAATTTTCTACACAGAAATCCTCTGTCTAATTTCTATTATCTTCTCTCAGACAATTTTGAAAGAGGAATGAATTATTGACTGTGCAAAACACATCTTTGAAGCTAAATGTAATCTAAGAAGTACAAAAAATGTACTCAAGATTTTGTCCCCCCCAAATGAGTCATTTAAACTATTCCAACCGTTCAGGAAAACGATAAACATTGTGAACATAAAAATCTGCCCCTTTTTATATATACTTTAATAAAAGGAAATGTGTTCCTTCTTTTAATATTCTTGCGTTTTTATCTTCTGACACCAGTTCGTACGGAGTTTCTAGATTTGGAGTGAATAACGCCAATACTACTTGATGAAGTATCGAAACACACTTTATTGGCCTGTATTATCAGGACAGCTCCAAAGCACGTTTTTAGAGTCGTCGATGAACTACTATAAACACACTGACACGATCAGCGACACAGCCTCCAGGTTATCAGGCTATCACGGTGGAGACAGCTTAACGGCAAAGCAATAGAGTACAGCTCCCGACTCTGCTCGGTCGTTCTCGGAACTCCACGTACTCTCAAGACTTTCCACGCTACAACTCGCGATGCACACGACGACACGACACACAGAGCACAGCTCCCGACTCTTCGGTTCAGTCGTTCCCGGAGCTCAACACGCTCTCTCGACGATGCACTAACCACGATACACTACGAGACTTTTTCGTTGCACTCGCCGACCCACTAGGCACTCGCTGCCCGGCTGTCAACTCGCAGGGATTGACTCGCTAGATGAGACACCAGCTCGATACTAACTCTCCGCGTACCAGGAGGGTTTATATAGCTTTTGGCTGGTGTTGAGAACATTCTGGGCTAAACCGGTAAGAATTCGTTCCAGAAGGTTCTTCATCCATCCATGGCATATTGCCAATTTTGTCGCCTAATGTCTCTAAATGGGCGATTTCTCGCCAAGAAATGTGGCAACCCTGCCTTCCTTGCTATCTTATTACAACCCTAAAACTGCTTTGCGGGTAAGCCATCTTACCGTGCCAGTACATTTCGTAACACTGCCCTCTCCCAAGGACTGCGGTCTCGGGCAGTACAATCCTTGGTCAGAAGCCAAATTTGATAAAATCAAATCGCTTTGAAGCATGCAGATAACATAACTAAAGAAACAAATATTTACACTATGTACAAGTTATATACACAAATTAAGCACATCATAATTTTAAAAGAAACAAATATTTACACTATGTACAAGTTATATACACAAATTAAGCACATCATAATTTTAAAAGAAACAAATATTTACACTATGTTCAAGTTATATACGCAAATTAAGCACATAACAATTTTAAATTATACAAATTAAAGTTCTGAATGAATTTCAGTCTCAGTTTATTCACTAAAATGTACCCGGGTCAAATACTTTTCCACTGCAGTTCTTAGATATATTTATGTTTTGCATATCACAGTCTGACGATTCACTCCTTTGAGACTTTTCATCCACAGAAAGATCTGAAACAGTTTGTTCACCACTCTGAAGTTTGTTCGCATCATGTGCACAGTTCACCTTCGTATTTTCAGCAGCTGATACATGCACATTTTCCTCCATTTCCTGAGAACCAGCTCCAAATTCTGCATCAGAGTCATGAACGGAACCCGATAATTTACAAACGCAAGTATCCTGGTTTAGAATCAAAATCAAGTCCTTGTCTGCAAAACTTGCACTATGAGGCATACACCCAGTTTGTGAGGTGGGTGAATTTTCTTACAATACCGGAACGCACTGCTTAAGCTGCACATCAACTTCTCTCATCTCTGCACCACATGCAATTTTAGATGGTTCAATACTCGCTAACTGCGACTTCATAACTTCACTATCAGTTTCTACGAACTTGACAGTCGCATTTTCACTTTCTTCCGCCTCCACTTCAGGCACTTGAGAATCAAAAGTTTCTTTACCGTCTTTTATTTCTTCATATTTTCGTTCTTTTTCGTTAATCGCGTTAGATGCTTCATCCATCATTTCTTGATCTTTCGCAGGCAGTTCGTTAGTTACTTCTTTCATTTCTTCAAATCCTTTGATTCTTCAGAAGCCATATCTCTCATTTCCACATCTTCTTTTATGGCTTTAGTTTCTTCTGTAAGCTCCATTCACCTGTTGGAGTTGCTCTCGCACCTTTTCTTGGCCGACATTTATTTCTTCTCGTCGGCTTTTCTTCTCTTCTAGTCCGGCTTTTATCTCAGCTGTCATCTCTTTATATCCAGCTTTTATTTCTTTATATCCAGCTTTTTTTTCTTTATATCCAGCTTTTATCTCATCATGTCCGGCTTTTATCTCAGAACATCTGGCTTTTATCTCAGCATATCCGGCTTTCATCTTTTCTTTTCTTGGAATTCAGCAAAGGCAGTCACGAGCTGTCTTAATAGATCTTACATTGGTCTTGTCGCTGGCATTCACCCTCAAATCCCACTTCTGACACCAGTTGTTACATTATTTTCTTCCTTCACGTTCGTACGGGGTTCGTATGGATTTGGAGTGAATAACGTCAATACTACTTGATGAAGTATCGAAACACACTTTATTGGCCAGTATTGTCAGGATAGCTCCAAAGCACGTTTTTACAGTCGTCGATGAACTACTATGAACACGCTGACATGATCAGCGACACAGCCTCTATATTATCAGGCTATCACAGTGGAGACATCTTCGCTGCAAAGCACCAGAGTACAGCTCCCAACTCTGCTCGGTCGTTCTCGGAACACCACGTACTCTAGAAACACTTCACGCTACAACTCGCGATGCACTCGACGACACACAGAGCACAGCTCCCGACTCTTCAGTTCAGTCGTTCCCGGAGCTCAACACACTCTCTGGACGACGCACTAACCGCGATACACTACGAGACTCTTTCGGACCCACTAGGCACTCACTGCCCGGCTGTCAACTCGATCGATTTCGCAGGGATTGACTCTCTAGACGAGACACCAACTCGATACTAAATAGCTCTCCGCGTAAGAGCAAGGTTTATGTAGCTTTCGGCTGGCGTTCGAGAACTTTCTGGACTAAACCGGTAAGAAATGGTTCCAGAAGGTTCTCCATCCGTCCATGGCATAACGCCAATTTTGTCGCCGAATGTCGCGAAATGGGCTATTTCTCGCCAAATGTAGCAACCCTGCCTTCCTTGCTATTTTATGGCAGCCCTAAAACTGCTTTACGGGGAAGCCATCTTACCGCGCCTGTACATTTCGTAACAATATATGTAAGAAAAGGAACCCATTTTCCTTTCTAAACTTTTGAAAGTCGCCAATGCTAAAAAATGATAAACTACGCCAAGGTAGTAACCCGCCTTTAAAAAAAAAAAAGATTCACTACAACACTTAGGCAGTTCACGTATGTAGAATCCGTTCTTTTTGATTGAGTTCAAATGACGGATCCGTCAACTCAGTGCGCATGCGCGGTTAATGTTGGTGCGAATAGATCAAGCGGCTAATCGTACCGCACTTTTGGAATGAATATCATTACTACGATGTTTTTGACTCAATTTCGATTTTTTGATCTATATCATTAGGCAGAAAGACTTGGTTTCATGGTGCACTAAAAGGCATCTGTAAACTTTTTTTACTTTTCTGAAAACGTGAAGCATATACTTCGTGGCTGAAAAATGTGAACGCTTATCTCTGGTGAAAAAAATATTACGTAAAGTAAACACTTGAATCTCATTAACTGTATTGCTGTTCACAGATTTTGATATCATGCTGTAATTAATTTTTTCGCCTGCTTCGGCGAGCTGCTTTTTTTTTCTTAGCGATATCCTTACGGCTTTGTGTAATATCTCAGTAAACAATAGAGTCTAAATTTACTCAATTTATGTACCTGCAGACTTTATGAAACATTGTAATCTTGGATATTATCACGCGATTTTTAGTCTTTTCATTACTTTACATTTTGTGATGTTAAATGATATTCAGATTTGTGAGATATTCGGCTTATGCAATTTTTTTTTCTTTTAGATTTAGGTTGACATTGGAATTCTTTTCTTTTTTTTTAAATATGAATGACAGTAGAAGTCACCAATATATCTTAGCGGAGTTTCTCCTGCGTTTCGTGTTAGGTGTTATTTTTTTGTAAGTATTAATTAAACCAATCATATACTGAACGGGGAAAATGCATGTTCGTAATTAAAATGATCTTGGCTTAATAAGTTTCATGTTATAATGTTACATATCTTGAATTAATTTATTTGCATTAATAAGCCAAAAAATATTTTACCGTTATTGTGAAAAAAATATTTTTAGTTTATTTGTTCATGTTATTTCAATCCTTAATTTAAATTATAATTGAGTGAATAGATGCAAAAATAGGATTATACTAGAAAATTACAAATGATCAATTAAATTCTGTTTGCTCTTTTTATTAATAATAAACTATAAACTTTCTGCATTTTAAAAAAGAAAAGAGTAGTTTTTGATATTGTTCAAGGAAATGAATAGATTGCTGTAGAAAGGTGAGAAGTTATTGTTTTCGTATCTTGGTCATAGAGTTAATTAAATTCTGCTGTATTTTTTTAAAGGGAGTGGGGGATCCTTTAAGTATGCCTAAAAATTAATTTTCATTGTTAACCTCTATGTTAATTTAAATGCAAGAAAAATAATTTATTTTGCATTATTCAATATTAACAGTATTACATTCACTGATAATAGCAGATATTGTTGATCTCGCATAACTGGACATTTTGCTATATATTTCTGTTGTGTAAAGTCTTGAAAGAAGAAATAAATTAGATGGTCTGCAAGGCCATTGCACATCATATCAATATCTGATAACTCATTATCTAAAATATAATTCAAGATTTTCTTAGAAGTATGGATATTTCCCGTGACAGGATTCTTGAGCATAATCAGTTCATTTCATTTAAGCTAGCAGATGATGCTACAAATACATAACAATGGCAAGTTAACATAACAGTATTCTTAATTTCATTGTCAGACAAAATGTCCATTAGGAGAATGAATGAATTTTATAAATGCCTCAGGAATATAATAATATGTTTTATATAATGCTATATATAATGAATACATATATATTTTTATTTCTATTATGTTACATTTTTGTAGATCAATTTTATCTCCTCTCCTTAATCTCAGCATTTAATAGCTAATTCTTTATATACTGCTAGCCATTCTAATTGCGGGGATGTTTCCATAACCGGCACTTGGCGAAATTGCGGATTTGTTTACATCGGAAGTGAGCGTACGTGCGCCAGAATATGGTAACCCTGATAATTGTTGCAACCCACACAGGGAATTTTCCTGAAGGAGGAAAAGGAGTTTATTGCACATTTTCTTTACAATTGCCCCATTGTAAAGAAAATGTGCAATAAACTTGAAGTTTGCTTGAAATTGTTATGTGCAGATGATTGACATTTCATGGCATGTGCACATTGCATGAAGGGTAATGATACCTTAAAGCAATATGAAAAGGTAATCTGAATACCAATTTTTCACTGTTGTTTTTTGTATCAGAGATCATATTATGCATGAGAAGAAGGAGCTTGTAACAGCATAGCTTAGAATTTGATTGCTGGAGATTTAAAGCTTTTTGGGACTGGGGAAAGGACTATTGTACAGCGCAAAATGCTGCTTGACTGATATCCAATGACTGTAATGAAAATTTTGCAGTCAATGGATCTAGGAAGGCCTCATGGAGTAACATGGATGATCACATCAGCTGCCCTCTCACTAAAGCCTGAAACAACAGCTATCCACATTGCTGTTAAGGATGGTGGAGGTCCTCCATGTCCTTCAGGAAATTGAGTATGTATGCTCAGATTATGACTGCAATGTCACAGATTGTGGGTAAATCCATTTTTGCTTTAAATTATAATTAATTTTGGCTTCCTTTGATTACTACAGTACGGGAATTAGTATCTATAATATTGCATTCATGGTGTAAAAGCTTATTTCCTGACAAATTTACATTTGCTCTCAACATCATGATAATAGAATCTACATGTAGAGGCACTTGGGGATAAACATTGGAAGCTTTATCATCATACTGGCCTAACACCTGAATTGATGGTGTGAGGTGTTATATAGCCTCTAATTTGTATGTGAGGTTTTGTACTTAGACAAGCCATTATTACATTACTGAAGTTTTAATGCTGGTGGCTGATTTATTTTTTCAGAGGGCCTATGTTGTCCTACCATTCAATAGGACACTGTCAGACTGTTTGTTGCCTACATTATCCTACATTTCTTCAGCATTCAGGCAGTTTGACTCCTGCTCTGGGTGGTATGTTCTGTAGATATCTTACCAATTGAAATAATATTGTCAGTTATTACAGAGAGAGATAACTGTTACAATACTTATTAGATAATAGGAAACATGAACTGTGGTATAGAATTGAAGCCACATAAACTAGCTGCTATCCAAAGTTTAGCTTTATGCTTAGATGTATAATAATTAACTATTGTTTTTAGATGGAACTATTAAGGATACTGATTTGTATATGTTCTCTGTCTCAAAATTGCTTGAAAATTTAATAATTTCATTGCTCCATTATAATGCATTTCCAAAATAAATATGATTCTGCTAGCTGCTTTAACTCATGGCATACAAATTTTAATGGCCAGAAATGCATATACATGTTTTTTGTAACATTAAACTTGCATATGCGAGTAGTTTTTTGTAAATAGTTATGGAGGTTTTAATTATTAAGTATGGTTTTATTCTAACAGAATATTAGAATATGCTGAACCATTCCGTAGAAAGATTCATCCTGATGAATTATGGTTGTATAAGAATCCAAGAACTGAAAGTTACATTCCTACTCGCATTTTATGGGTAATTTTTTTGCTTTATATATACTTAAATAATATTGACTTGAATATCTCCCTTTTACTTATTTTGCCTCTTGAAAACTGTAAAAAGATAATTACATGATGTATGCCAATTCTGAGGAAAAACGTTAAAAGAAGAAAGATTTAAAAGTGCATATAAATAGATGTTCTAATATAATGTATTCTATTTTTCAAAGAAATCAGTTTGAGTGACTGCTTTTAATACAGTTTTTAAAGTTATATTTTACACTTTTATATTTTATCCATACTTGCATATTACTGTCATAAAGCAGAAATAACTAAAGCATATGCAGAAAAAGCCATGGAAGATTATGCGAGGAAAAGACACATCAGAGTAAAGGTTGTGCTTCATTATACTGGCATACATATTAGAAGAATTCTCTAAATTAAAATAGTGGTGTCTTGCATAAGTGCATTCCATTCCAGGACGGTTTTTGGTATGCAGAATGCTTTTTTTTTTTTTTCGTAATTTACCATGATCCAATTCTAAAATGGTATACATTATAAAAAATTGTTTAGAGTACAGTAGAATTCCAGAAATCCGGAAAGCTTTGGACCAGAGGTTGTGCTGATTTTGCGGATTTCAGGACAGAAAAATAAGCTAATTCGGCTAAAATGCAAAATGAAAAGGCGTATTAGATACATTTAATTAAATTTATAACATTCAATAATTTATTATATCATTAAATATTATTACAATATAAATTGATTAATTATCATGTATTATGTACACGCATCGAGGTTTGCGATTTCGCCCTCTGCAGATTTCCGGTTGGGATTACGCGTGTTAGAATACTGTTGCTGTAAAATTTCACAGCTTTTCTTATTTTTCGTATATCAACACAGTCGGTTGCAATTCCATACCATTTGCTATAATGGAAGTGCACTGCTTTACTTCTGCAGAATTTGCACTTTTGAGTTACCACAAATGCAAAGTTTAATTTTTCAACGTGCAAGCATAAAAACGAGTGCGTTTCTTATTTCAATTGTCTTGTATAAAAAGGCTGAAGATTAAAAATTTCTTAATTATCACAAAAAAATCCGGATTTAAAAAAAGCAGCACTAAACAATATCGTGAAATGAAATAAAAGCTCAGAAATACAACAACGTGAATGTCTGCTTTTACCTCGATGCAGATTAGGGAAAAAACATATATTTTATTTATTTTTAAACTTTTTTATCCACTAATTGGTATTTTGTTTTGACTCATTTTATTCGGTAATATTATTTCTTCGTATTTCATACTCAATGTAGCGGTTTCCGGAACCTATAAACTGAATGTTTATATTCTGAGAGGCAACGCAGATTTCAGGTGGATTTTCAGTATTTGACTGTATTAACATAACATGATTAAGGAAAAAAATAATAAAATTTACTATTTTATTAGTTACTATCTGCTAAGCAGCCATCCTTCGCCTGGCTTTTAAATGTACTGGAAAAATGCCTAAAGGGAACATCAAACATTAAATTTGAAAACTGTGCAGAATTTTACTCTGCGAAACAACTTTGTCACAAAAAAGAAAAGGAAATCAATAAAAGTGTATTATATATAAAAACATTGCAATGAAATATGCAATATTCTTTAATACAATATTAATGATCCTAATAAATAAATTTACCAACTTTCCATTGCCTTCTCTTGACAAACGTCCAGTATCCAAGAAAAGCATTAAATTAAAAAAATTGCACAGAATTACCGCCCTCATTTTTTTGAGTGGGAACAGTGCTGATATCAGTAACTGTGGCAACAGTGATATATCAGCAACAATGGGTGCATGCCATAATGAGAGAGAATTATCGATTTGATGTGATTTCATTAAAAAACATAAAATTTAAAAAAATCTTATTCAAATCTTGAAAAAAATTGCTTCGAGGTACACTGCTTCTTGTCTAGATGAACCTGTGTACCAAATTTCGTAGCCCTGGGTCTATTAGCTTATGCACAGCACGAACGACAGACTCTTCCTTTTATTATATGTAAAGGTAAAAAATAATTATACCACTGTATACATACAGTATGTACCTACATGTTGTATTTTATAGTTGCATGTTCATAGTTATTTTTATCGATACTATGCAACCTACCTGAGGTAGATTATTAAGCTACTTTTAAGTTTTTCTACTCAGTTTACTCTGAGTCCTCCTGATCTTCCATCTGAGGTGGAAAGTTTACTTCTTAACCATTTAGCATATGTCTTTGACCTACTTGCTTTTGGTTTGTATAAGGTCTAGGTTTCAAGGTGTTGTTGCAGATATAAAAATATAAAGAAAAATTCTTAAATAAATTAAAACTCAATTAAAGCAAATTGACAGTAGACTTTTAGATTACTAATTTTCAATTAAAGCACAACTCCTACAAGACATCTGCAATTTCCTTGCATTTATTTGTATTGCTGTAAACTCTTAACCAATTGCTGCGTAAGATTAAAACAAAGCACTTTGAAAATTATAAGTACTCTGTTCACAAAATACACACTCTCGTCTCTTACAGATTCTCATACACCATGACCAAGGGCCATACTCTTCTTCTGCCTATTCAAGCTTTCGTTTCTGCATAATGCACTTTCAAATAACATTCAGCATCAAGCAACAAAGTGCCCAAATTTCAACTTAGCTGGTAAAATTATGCTTCTTGCAATAGAGCAGAAGTAAAATACTATTGGGTTGGCAACTAAGTAATTGCGGATTTTTTTTAGAAAATCAAAGACAGTTTTTTCATGGAACTAAATAATTTATTCTGTATGATTGCCCATTTGATAAATGACTTTGCCATCTTTCAGGCAGCATATAATCCACGTTCATAAAACTTCTGGATTTTATTAGAAAAAAACGAATAGGGTACGATTTGACATCCTCATCATTATAAATTTTTTACCAGTCAAGGAGCGTTTGTAAAGAGCGAAACAAAAGAATCAGATGTGCAAGGTCAGGACTGTAGGTGGATGTGGCAAACATCCCAACCAAGCTCCATAATTTGCCGAGTGACAAGATTGGTGGCCGGACATTGTCATATGATGCAACACCTTTTCGATTTGTCAAGTCGGGGCCGCTTTTCTTCAACGGCATTGTTTAATTTCGTAGTGTTCAATTAGACTCAGATTGATCTTCGGTTGGGTGGTAGCGTTCAAGTAGACTTTCCTTTTAATCCCACCCAACTGTAACAAACCTTTTGATGATATCTCTTTTGATATGTTGAGTTGGTTCACCTGCCTGCTCCACGATCTTTTCCACTTGATATTGTTGTAAACAAGCCATTTTTCATCGACAGTTATCAGTCGTTTTAAAAATGGATCATTTTCATTACGTTTATTTAGCAAATCGCAGCTGTTAATGCGTTGCGTTAAATGCGTTTCCTTCATTTTGTGAGGAACCCGTGTATTGAGTTTTTGAACATAGTCAAGTTGTTTTAAGTGATTTTCAATGGATATATGGGATACATGAAGCTTCTCTGCAATCTCACGTGTTGTACTGTGGCAATCCAAATCGATTATTGCTTTGATTAGGTCGTCATCAACTTCAACTGGAGGACCAGAGCGTTTTTCAACTTTGAGTGAAAAATCACCAGATCGAAATTTGGCAAACTAATTTTGACACTGCCGTTCTTTTAAGGGGGGGGGGGGGCTTTGTCACCATAAACGCACATAACTTTTTATGGCTTGCGATGCGTTTTCCCTTTGCGAAATAAAAAAGCAAAATATGACAGAAATGTTCTTTTGTTTCCATTTCAAAGAACACCAAACGAAAAACAGCAACCATCAAAAACTTTTTATTGATTGACGGCTGAATGCAACTATCAATAAAAAAAGTGTTTACATTGTTACGTCTGCAACCCTAAAAATTCAACTGAAGCCATCTATGAGTGAAATCCACAATTACTTAGTTGCCAACCCAATATATTTGTACTTGTATTTGTACACACTCTCTTTTGCTAGCTGAAGGACATCTCTGGCTTGGCTGCTTCTATTAAAAATGTAATGCGTCACCATGAAACATTTGGGGTGCAGATTATGCCCATCATGATCTGCAATGCCACAGAGTAATCTACAAATAATAAAGATATGTTTGGATTATCAAGTGATTTTATAATTCTTCCAAAGCTCTTATCATTGTGTACTATGTAATCGATATTTCAGTGATCTTCTAACTTTTCTCGCAACTGAAAAATAATTGGTGTTTTCTGTAGTCAAGCACTTAATTTAATATCAAATTAACTGCAACAAAATTATTATCATGACATGCATATTTAAAAACCTGCAACAAAATTATAATAATCAGATATGTATTTGAAAACAAGTTTTTTTTCCTGTTGAAACTGACAAAAATCTAAAATAAAGCAAAATTTCAAATGGATGTTTTATTATATTTGTTACATTCTTTCCAATTACTACACACAGCACTAATATTCAAGAAACAAGTTTGAAGTTTACAATAAAAATTCTAGATTTATATTTCTTATGATAAATTTTAGATTAAAAAATAAATACATTTTTATCAGAAATGTAGTGATGTAACTTGTATTTTGCTTGTTTATAAATAGTAAAGTCTGTATGTGGTTCTTGTATATATTTGTTGAGATATTTTTGGGGATGCTATGTAGATAAGAAGGCAAGAAAAGTTGGACACATTTAGTTTAACCCTCTCAACGTTATGGCCGGAAAATTCTGTATAGAAGGCAGCCTCCTATATTCACACAAAGATTTCTGCTAGCTTTTAATGTATCTGATTTCGGTTTGGATTTATATTGGAAGAAAAGGAATCAAGTACAAAAGGAGAGGGTAATTTTCTAATTAAAATCAAGAAAATACCACTTATATTCATGACATTTTGAGAAACTTTGAAATTTCAGATCTAAACCGTAACGCTCGGAAGGTTAATAGAAAGTATTATCATGTTGGTATTATGTAATTTCATATATGGAGTCTTGGCTTGAAAGTGTTGAGTCATTAGAATTTTTATGATGCAGGTGACATGAAAAATGAGCAGTTCCCTTGCCGGGACTTGAACTTGGACCTTTTGAATATGCACCAAGTGTGCTACCGTTACACCATAAAGGCATGCATAAAGGAGGAAGAAAATACTCTCCCTTTTAAAGGGTGACTGTGAATTAGGGACCCAGTCGCCAAATCGTGGTGGTGAAGAATCATCATCCACCACCTTTATTTTAGTTCAGTTGCCACTGCAGAGTTATTAGATTATTTTGAAGCAGAAAGACATGAAATGGGAATCAAAAACCTGGACTGACACACTGAGTGTGCTACTGTTACACCACAAAGGCATGCAGAAAGAAGGGAAAAAATTACCTTATAAACCTAAAATCATTTAGTTTGTAGTTACATATATTTGATATTTTAACTTTATTCCTCATAAGTATATCCATTATCTAAAAGATTAAAACCCAAAGCAGTAAATCTACTTCTGCGTAGATTTACTTTGTCTTTAATCTGTGGACAAAAGCCACAGGTTGCCATAAAGAATGTTTATTTTCTAAAAAGAGACTAAATGAACAGAATAATGTTATTTCAATTCTTTTATGATGCAAAGAAATTTTGTATTATGGTATCAGGTATTTTTGTTACCCTTGTAGTGTATGTAGACAAATGAAAAAGAATATCATTGCTTAATTCTGTAGCGTATAAGTTTTGTTTCTGATTGAGGATTATTGAATTCATATTACATTTTTTAATTTTATGTTATTTCATCTTGTAGCATTTCTTTGGCTTGAAGGATTTGATGATATTTAGTCAAGCTTATGTAAAATTCTTTAAGATCATATTGAAGTCATGGGCTGTATCGTTACCGGATAATCTATCAGTTTTTCTTTTTGTGTGAAAGAACTTTCTCACAATACTTCTTTTATTCTCACCAAATTCTGATGCTCTCAAATGACTGAAGGAGAAATTTAATTCTGAGATACCTCTCCCCCATTTTTTTTTCCCCCACTATCTGCTCACTTCTGGAAGAGAACAATAAAAAAGATCAGACTGAATAGTGTTGCTGAAGAATGCATCAGCATTCATCCATGAGTTCTTTTCCTATAATCTTCAATCAATATTTCAGATTTTTTAATTTTAAATCACAAACCCTCAAAAAGGCAACCAAATCAGTTTTCCCCAACTAGGAACTAGCTACTGAAATATTTCTAGCTATCAACATAAGTAAGGAATTTTTTTAAATAAAAACAATGCTATTTAAATATTTTCTAATGTGTTTAGTTTTAATTGTCTGAAAGTTAGTTATGTTTCATGTTTATAATTTCAAGAAAATTTTTTTTAAATCTTATATTAGACTTTTTATGTTTATAAAGTCTCACATATCAATTTCTGTAGGTTATCATATGCATCATTCCATTTCTTATCACCTTTCTGACAAATTTGCTCAACAAAAGTAAAGCAGATGGACTTCAAGCCTTTTTGGGTAATTAATTTTTTTAATTCTTTTCTTTCTAAAACTGTAATAAAAGCTGATTTATGAAAATTCTGTTAAAGTATTCTCAAATTTGAAGTTCATAGATTAGACATATTAAAACACTATATTATAAACTGTATATATACACTGTATATTATAAAAAAATGACACACCAAGAAGGAGGTATCCAAATGGGGTGGAAATTGGTAAATAGGATGCACTTGTATTGAAAACAAAACACTGACACTATCGTAAGAATTGAATGTTTTGTTCAAGAAATACAGCTACAAGAACAAAAATATCAGTAATGCTTTAGTCCCTGTCTGGCCCTGATACAAGCTGTTATTCAGCTGGGCACTGACTCACAGAATTGCTGAATGTCCTCCTGTGAGATTTCTTGCCATACACGTTTGAAATAATGGGTTAGATTGAGGGATCCAAGAACAATCAAAGATGCCTGCTCTTAAGAGCCCCCAAACTTGTTCTGTTGGGAAGAGATCTGGTGATCCTGCCAGCCATGGAAGTGTTGGATGATAAGCTACAGAAAGGCATGTCATGTGCTGCCAGGCTTATCCTGTTGAAATATAAGCCAGAGATCTGTGAAGGGAAGAGCAACACCAAGAGACTTAAAATCTTATCTATGTGCCACCATACTGTAAGAGTATCACGGATGACAACCAAAGGATTCTGGCTATCAAATAAAATGGCACCTCATGCTATAACTCCTGGTTGTTTTGCTGTGTGTGTGTATCTCCCCACTGACCTGGATGTCTCAAGATGTGTCTTCACTGGTTATCAGGGCTCAGTTCAAAGTGGGACTCATCACTGAAAGTTCGGTCAGTTCTGCTTCAGTCATGAAATTCCAATGCAAGTATGCCTGGTGGGGTTTAATAGTGAGGGACTGTCGGCCCTTTGGCCTCCATAAACTCAGCCTCCATTTGCTGAATTGCCTATCAATGATCATAACTGTCAGTGGTGTTCCAGTTACACTTCAGATTGTTGATAAGGATGCATCAGGGGCTGTGAGCACTGGTCAGATGATCATTCTGTCTTAGCATTCTCTGTAGTCACTCTTGGCTAACCACAACTTTCTTGATGCTCTGAATGGCCATGGTTCACCCTTGCCAACATTGTTGAATGCAGCATTGCTCTGACCCAAATATCAAGCAATCCTGTAATTTGGCCATCCTGCTTCCTATAGTCTAATTGTGTGCCCCCTCTCAAATGATGACATCTACTCGTACTGTTCACAAAACCACCTGTGAGGCATTGCTATAGTACATGTGGGTCAACAGAATCACATTCACATGGAATTTATTTCTTAGCGTTGGAATATCTCCAGTTTCACACACCAGCCAGATGTTCGGAGCTGCAGCTGGTCAGTTGCTGGCCTCCAGAGTTAATCATTTGCATATTCTATTGTAAGGTATGAGCATCTGTGATTTTGTCTTATTTTTATAACTACTACTTGGTGCATTATTTGTTATGTTACAGAGTGTATATACAAAAGATTTTGCCGAAGTTTTCTAAATAACCACTACTATGAAATCTACAATATATGTCTATTTGTTTGCCTTTTGTACAAATCTGCAGTTTAATTCCAATCTTTAATATACTTGCTGCACTCTACCTTTAAAACAAGAGGAAGCTCACTGTCTACATAAAAATTTCTCAAAAATCAGCACATGAGGGTCTACATTCTTTATATACTTATATTTTCTGTTAATTTAACAAACTTTTGATTAAAATTCAGCAATTTAAAAGCTTTGCATTGTCACTTTGGAAAGCATAAGCTATATATGTTTCAAATTTAATCAGAAAACTTGATAGTATAAAAAAATTGTGCTGCCACTCAGGAAAACACAATTTTATTAATTTGTGTATAAATTATTTATTAGTTATTAATGTATATAAATGTTATTTTTATATTTCATAAGGCAGCTGTATTTTCTTTTGTAAAAATATGTTCTGATTTTTAATAACTTCAAATTTGAGATTTTTATTGAAAGAACTGTTATTATCTTTCCATTAACTATTTTAGTTATTGAAGTCATTTTCCTTTTAAAGCACTGTCTCTTGCATTTGGTATAAATGGTGTAGTTACAAATACTGTGAAGCTTATTGTAGGCAGGTTAGTATAATTTTCTTATTCTTGTGAATTATATGTGTATAAAAGTATAAAATAAATTTGCTCTTTTTTGTTTCAAATAAGCTTTGTTGTATGTAACCATTCATTGCAATGTAATAAATGAATAAACTTCCATATGCAGAGTAAGATAAGGATTGCTGCATTTTACCAGTGTGGCTTAGCTGCACAGAAGAAAATCAATAGTATCTTATGTATGCACTTATGTTGGTACTTCCATCATCCTGTATTTTACGTGCTTAGAGTTTTTTTTTTAATAATGCTTTCTTCAGAGACTGAGCATATTAACAAAAGTTTTGTATTTATTTCCTTATAACTTCAATATTCATATATGGTTATCATATAAATACTACAAATTTATTTATATAATTGTCAGAAATTGGTCAAATGTGTGTGAATTAACTTTGATAAGCTGAAAGTCCAGAGATAAAAAAATAAAATAAACTGAAAAATAGAATTATGAAGAAAAGTTAACATTAATTTGTAATTCTGCATTTTGATTTATAGTAAATTACTTCATTTTGAAACTGGAGTGATAGTATAGCTCCATTGTAGCATATTATGAACTAGTATCTGTTAAAAGTTAACTTGTCTAAAACTTAGCATTTAATTTTTGTTTCACATGTATCATAACATTAATGAATTTAATTATTTATGCATTTTTAATTAATCTATATACATCTCATTATGGTGAAATCTGGCAACAAACTTAGTTTTCTAATGAAATATTTTTCATAAATAAAAAAAAAATTTAAAAAAAAAAAATGAGGCTAGTTATAAAATGTTCAGGTGTCTTCAGTAAAATTTTTTAGTGATATTAATATATAACAGGGGTGGCCAAGCTCCTTGGTAGTCCGAGCCATTTTTCAAAATTTGAAATTTTTTACGAGCCGTATTTAAATATGTATTTAAGTTATGCAGAAAAGGTATTAGAAAAATTTTTTTACAGAAATTAAATTTATTGAAAACTTATAAATAAAAGTACAAAATGTGTGTGTTGAATTTAAATATTAAAAATTAAACACATTTACTTTACTTCTCTTGATAATTCTTTAAAATTTGGTGAATAATTGGTGACAGCACTTCTCAGTAATTCTTTGAGATGCTCGTTAGTTAATACTGATCGGTGTTTGGATTTCACGAATTTTAAAGTAGAATAAAATGATTCACATAAGTATGTTGTTCTGAATGTTGAAATAATTCGACAAGCAGCCTTTTTTAATTCAGGAAACTTAGATTCTGGTACAAGTTTCCAAAATTCGGTAATTGGTGTCGACTTATATTTTAATTGTAGAGCTTGATCTTCTTGCATCTCTATTAATTCTAATTCTCCAGATGCTTTTTGGATCATAATTATGTTGGAAATGGAAAACTCACCTTGAATTATGTTAATTTCAAATGGATTCAGAAAAAAATCAAGAGGCAATTTAAAATATTTCAAGTCTTGAAATTTATTTTGGAATTCCATCAATATTCCTTCTAGCTTTTTTATATACTCGTTGAGTTTTCCTTTAACCCATTAACCGCCAAAACTAAAAAAAATGTTTCTTATAAAAATAATAACAAATATTAAATTAAGCATTTATAACATAAACTTACATTGAAAATTAAAAAAAAAAAATGCTCTTACCTGTGGAAAACGCGAGTGTTGCATTCATGTAACGTCAGCGGAATAAGACTACGGACGTTTAATGAATAGGATTGTACTCGTGTCATGTTGCTTTTGAGTGGAGCGCAGGATTACTTTTTAGCTGTATAACGTTTTATAAATCTACAAATCACTTTACTTGTAATTAATTTAATATTAAAATATAGATTGTATTTCTTTTACAAATACAGATTATTTCAATTGAAAGATTCAAGCATGAAAAGCTTGATTACAATCATGATGTAAAGCTACATTACATACTTTGCATCTATAAACAGTCTGGCTATGGTTCTCTTTACAACAAAGTCTTTTGTTATCAACGGACTTTACGATAAAATATCTACCACCTCCATGCAATGGTTTTTGAATGCTGAATTTAATAGGTCTTCCTGTCGCTGATCAATTTCTGGCTAATTCTACATTCTGAATAGGAGTTTGCAAAAGGAATAATGCGTTCTCGCGTCTGAAATCTAAAAGAGACTTTATATTTCCAGTAGTAAAAAGTGGTGATATTTAATAAGTTTAGATACGGTTTCACCTCATATAATTTATCAGTATTGTCAATTTAACTATTGTCAAATGCAAATTCTGCTTCATATTCCTGTTCCGCAAACGTGATATTGATTCTCGTAAAACAGGAACAGAAATGTCCTTATCAAAACCTTATCAAAATACCAATACATTTTTTCTTGAGCTAAAGAATGATATCCTGTAAGCAACAATATTCCAATAAATCTCATATAGGCTTCAGATACAATAAATTCTGGGCAATTTTTTTTTTTTTTTTTTCCTGAGCGTATATATTTGTCTGTTCAACGAGAAGAGAGTAAATGTGTAAACCAAAACAAAAATTAAAAATCTGTGCACTAGTTTTACCTTGTACTTTCTCTTTTATAATTTCTCCTTCTATCGCTTTCTTCATGTTCTTCCTGAGGCATAACTAACAGTTCCTTTTTTATCCACTTCAAGATTTCAGTCTTCTGCTTTTTAAACTTTTTAGTATGACTATAACTGCTTTTAGAAGGCTGAAACTTACTTCTTACGTGAATTTCAACTTCCCCAGCATTATCATTTAGTAAAATATCATTATCATTATTTAAAACATTGTCATTCCTTTCTCCTTCATCACTAGCTTCTGCAATTTGTGGGGGAACAACAACAATATCAGTTTCATTCTGGTCATTATTAACATTATCATCATCTGTTTCTTCATCAAAAAATCTTTGAAGGGCTTCTTATAATGTAAGATACCTCATTCTAGGCATTTTTAAACAACCAGAACATGAAACAGAACATTGAAAGGAATGAGTGAAAAAGGAGATTGACTACCCGTTTCCTGCTGACGTTGCGTCAGCGCAACACCTGTTTTCCCTTCCTTCGCAACACAAATATAAACATCTGACTGATGTAATGTTCTGATAAAGAGTGACTTTGACTAAAAATAGATCACTCATAAAGACGGCGATTCTTTCGTTAAATATTTTCAACAAAAATACCCAGTCGAAAATTTTGCTTAAAGTATGAGATTAATTATTATAAACAAAATGATTGTTGAAGCAATTATTTTTTTACAGAAATAATCTTCATAATATTCCTTACACAAAATCATCTACTGGTATAAAATATCTTAGGTAGTTATATTTATATATGCATTTATTTTGACTGTTGCGTCAACACAACACCAGCGGCTAATGGGTTAACCTTTTAACTGCCATGCCCGAAATAATCTCGGGCACAGCACTGATATTCCAAAATGTCATGCCCAAATATTACTCGGGCTAATTTTTTTTTTTTTTTTTTTGAGTGCATCGTATTGTGATATTCAAATATATAACGTGAGAAGCTTATTTCGGCTTCAGTGGTATTCCAAAATGTCATGCCCGAATATTACTCGGGCTAATTTTTTTTTGAGTGCATCGTATTGTGATATTCAAATATATAACGTGAGAAGCTTATTTCAGCTTCAGTTCAACAGATGGCAGCATTTGACTGAAGGTTTCAAAGGATAGAGGTTAAATTTCAAAGTGTGCAGGATTTTTTTTACTTTTTTTATTTTGAGGCAAACATTTCATTTTTGGAATAAAAAAAAATTGACAATTTATGCACCCAAATCATCAAAATAACTTGACAGTTAAAAGGTTAATATCGGAACAAATTTTTTTAATTCAAGGAAAATGACAAAATGTTTTATTTTTAATGTCCTTTTGAAAAAGCTGCAATTTAGTTTGAAAACTAAATATACACTGTGAGAGGTCAGATATTATTTTATCTTTTCCCTGTAATTGTAAATTCAGTGTTTGCAAGTGTTCCATGACATCAGTCAAAAACATTAAGTCTTGTAACCACTCATCATTGTCTAATTCTGAATAGGTTATTTCCTTTTATTTTAGAAATGCAGTTATCGGATCAAACAAATCTACAAATCGATTTAATATGTTGTAGCTAGATAACTATCTAACAATGAAAAAGAAATTATTGTCATTTGGAAGTTCTTCCTTTAATTCTTCAAAGAAATTTTTGAATTCTTGATGATTTTTATTAAAACTTCTGTTTTCATGCTCGTATTTTCTTCTTTTTTATTTTCGTTCTCTTTTGTCATATTTTTAAAAAAACTGGAAATAAATAAAGAAATTTAGAAAATAAAAGTTTTGGTGTTATTAAAACAATAACAACACATGTTCCATACAACGAAACAAATTATAGTTAACTTACCAAAAATGCCAGATTTACTAATTATATCTATAGCAAGAGTGATACAAATTGTTTCTTCCAGAGCACAATGTCAACTGTCCGTTGCAATGAAAGTTTACAAATTCAAAATCAGTCTGGAGTTGATTACGTAAGATTGCCATTCATTGAGAAGCAATCGGCCGGACAAGGCCTTGACTCTAATGTGTTTCTCATAATTCATGAGGCAGTCTGAGGGGAAGAAAATCTGACAAATGGAACTGTTAAGCCGCTCTTTATGTTCGTTCATGCAGTTTTCGATGAGTCGTATCATTTTTAACTTGGACGGAAAAGAAATTTGTTACAATGTTGCACTTAGTCTTTCATATTTGTTGTCAGTAATTTAAAATACATTTTGAAACACATATGGAACGATAATAATTAAAAAAAATATAATAACACAAAAATGAAAAGGAAACTCGGGTACATTTATCAAGAGCCACAAATAATCCTTCGAAAAGCCACATGTGGCTCGAGAGCCACAGGTTGGCCACCCCTGATATATAAGAAAACTGGTGACCAGAAAATTAAATGAATTTCATTCATCATGAAAAACATGAGATTAACATATTGTTACAAAATGTCAAGGAGCGATAAAATGGCTTCCCCGTAAAGCAGGTTTAGGGTTGCTATAAAATGGTAAGGGGATGATGGAACCGAGGAGTCAGGAGCTGAACTCTAGGTATCGTCGAATGCATCATGTTTTGTAGCATAGAGAGTGTCGAGAGTACGTGGAGTTCCGAGGACGACCGAGCGGAGTCGGGTGCTGTACTCCAGTGCTTTGCAGTGAAGCTGTCTTCACCGTGATAGACTGAAGGCTGTGTCGCTGATTGTTCCAGCGTGTTTATAGTAGATCTTCGACGACTGTAAAACGTGACTTTGGAGTTGTCCTGATTAATATTGGCTAAATAATGTGTGTTTCGATATTTCATCTGTTGTCGTCATTCACTCCAAATCCACACAAATCCCGTAACGAACATACTAAAGGAAGAAAAATAATGTAACAATATGAAAATAATAATAAAAAAGTACATGTATGACTATATAATGGCCAGAAGTGACAGCAAAGAACAAAATGAACTTAAAGTATACTATTATTTCAGTAAAGAATTAAAATACTGAAGGCCAATTATAAATAATGAAGAGTATGTAGTAGACTAAAATAGTATGCAGATAAACAAGCTCTATAATTTATGTAAATGCCCACGGATTTTGCTATGCCCATCGAACAAGAAAGCAAGAAACAAAACTTAATTGTTAATAATTTCTAACTTAATATTGAAAAAAAAAAATAGATAACTAGAGGCCTCATTCAATTGGAACAGCAATGATCACTCAAACAGTGATCGTTGCATCCAGCATTTTGAAAACGAGTGATTTTTCGTATTCAATTGAAACACTTCCCTACCAGTCGATCTCATAGGGGTTACCAGAGGTTTCTTGATGCGCGATGCTATTTATCACGTGGTCGGAGGTTGCATTGTTTTCGAAATAACCAGTGATAAAGCTACTGGATAGATATGCAGGGTGACTCCTTGTAACCGATCTTGAGGGTTGCAGGTCAGGTTTGGTGGGCCCTCTTTGGCTTTTTAGCGCTATTGTTTCAAAGTTTTATCCATGAAAAGTCTCCAAAGGGTATCATTTTATTTTAATTCCTGTATGAAAATAGCTAACCTAAAAGACACATTCCATTCACATAAATCACATACATGTGAAAAATATAGGTCTAGTAAATTTTACATGCATACTGAAAATAAAAGTTATTCAAAAGACGTAAAACTCTGTAAAGAATAATATTCATAACTATATAATAAATACTAACACACATCACATCATGGTACATTAACTCTGCTGTGAAAGGTACATAACTCTGCTATTTAGTTAGAAACATACCTTTTATATTTATTTGATAACACTATTAACACAGAAGACATAAAAGATGACAAGAAAATATGAAATCAGATTATGCAACTTAAGAAACAATAAGAAGCCTTTTAAGTTATTGCAATAAATAAGATGCTGATTACAAAGTAAATATTATTTTTTCATTCTTTTACATCAGTAATAAGTTTTTCATTAAAATATTTAGCAGTGAATGCCAAAACAGATTTATTATTGGTGCCTTTGATGCAAGGTCACACAAAAATAAACTTGATTTAGCAAATTTCTGAAAATGTTAAAATCAAAAGTATTAAATTACACTAACATGTTATTAAATTTATTTTAATTACACATTAAGAAAGAAATTATCTGAATTAAATTAAGAATGAGTGACTAAGCTTGTTCAGCATTTTAAAACATATTTCATGTTCATATAATGGAAATAAAGTGACAGGAATTGCAGTTAAATGAAAGAGCTGGATAGTCTACATGATGTATAAAATAAGGTAAAAAATTATTCGTTAAATATTTAAATTGATGCTCACTTTCTTAAATAAATATAAATACGATATATTTATGTTACTTTAAGGGAAACATTATATAATGCATAATTTTAATCATATTATCCGATGTTTACAGTTTTCTGACATTGGGGCCAACTTACAGATTTGGCAACAATATAACAGACTAAAAAAAAAAATACAATTTTAAACCATGAATCCTGCATTAAAATTAAAATAAGAAGCACACTTCATAGTTATAATCATGCAAAAAATTGAAATCAAATGTAAAATATAATTCTATAAACTTTATCCGTTCTCGAAAATAACAATAAAAAAAAATCACATCAGCATCATCGACTTATCAACGTCAGTAACTGTGTATTGACTATAGAGACATATTTTGCACGTATAAATCAATTTGTCATTAATTAGCAATACTTAAATGAAAATACACATTTTGCTGAAACATATGAACATTTATTTTTTTTAAACAGTTATGAAAACATGAAGCTGTAATTCAGAAGTCAAACAAATAAAATCAGCGTTATATTTACAAAACTTTCACAGGACTAGTTTTGATGGTTTTACCGAACCACCATCCTCAGCTGCAAAAGTGAAAATTTTGTAAATATAACACTGATTTTTGTTTGTTTGACTTCTGAATTAGTATTTATTTGGCCTGTTATTGTGTCTTAATTTTGAAGCTGTACTTACTTTTAAAGCACATGGTCATGTGCTCGGAATCCATTCCAATGGACAAGAATTAATTACCCATTTTCTTCGTATTTCTTCATTTTTCGGGAAACAGAACATAAAGTTATTTCTGGGCAATATGAATAATTTGATGCAGTGCATCTACTCATATTTCTCAAAATTAGGTTGCAATCCATCAATACAAATGTAAACAACACAACGCTAAATCAATATCCACTAGCAACAAGTGCCCTTCATTTGGATACAGCACAGATGATGAGTCGGCTACCCATGCTAGGATCCTCATATACCCTATACTTTGATATAAATGACTGCCTACTCGGTAGATCTAAAGCATTTTCCTTAGCACGCTTGAATTCTGCCCTCATAAAAGCATAAACAACACAGCTGCCATATTAATTTGATCGTTTTTCGCCACGGAATGATAGATCAATCATTGTGTTTCAATTGAATACCAAAACAGAAAAATCAGTCGCAAGTGATGACATATGACAACTAATGATCACTAAATGTTTCAATTGAATGAGGCCTTAAAAGTAATTTATTTCATGAGCTTCTACCGTCTTTTTCCGAAAATAAGACATTGTCTTACTTTCGTTTTTGGTCCAAAATACGCGCTAGGGCTTATTTTTGGGGGAGGGCAAAAATAAAAGTATATTTATATATTTTTATTTAATATTTATTTTACATAGAATACAGAAATTTAAATTTATTCAATTACAGTCATGTCATCTTCTTCTGGAACATCGTCATAAATAAAATTCTGAATTATATTCTGATTTTCTTCCAAATCCATTTCCTGTTGAATCATTGGTCCGAATCTCTCATGTCTTGCTATCATTAAATGAATAGCTATCATTAAATGAATACTTCTTGTCTAAGTAGCCTGTTCGTAGGACACTGGAAACATCACTATCAGTTATTTTGTCCCATGAATTTTTTTACCTATCAATCACCCCCTTTTGATTTTCGACTCATTCTGTGGGGGTTGGAAAAAGGTCGCTGCATCGTATGTGTCTCGGGGGTTACGGTTCAGCCCAAATTTCACCTCGACGAGAGTCTGTTGACGCTAACAGATGACGATGCCTTTCCTGTGAACGTATCTCTCTCAGAGCAAATGGTGAACTGGTTAAGATAAATTCCAAGAATTAATTTGAAACGAACTGTAGAGGTAAACAATTAATTTCTCGGAATATTTTGTTTCAAACATTTCTCTGACGTACGAGTATTAGGAAAGCTAAACATATTATTACTTAATAAATCAACAGCATTTTTTAACAAATCCTTTTTGTCACATTATTTTAACTAGGGATTATTTTCGGGAAATGTCTTATTTTACAAACAGTTCCGAAAATCACGATAGGGCTTATTTTCGGAGGATGTCTTATTTTCAGAAAAAGACGGTATCAGCTCTGTATTTCTAAATATTATATATTTGTCTTCAAATTTATAAATCATTCCTGATTTCATTGATTTATTTCTAACATTAGACCACGTCCTGATTTCTTTTATCGCTGTTTCCCTGATGGAAAAGGTGATTTACAACTTCCATGTTCTGGGAAAAATGAAGATATTATAGAAGGCTTGAAGAGTTTTCCAAGTGGACATTCTTCATGTAAATAATCATTCTGCTACATATTTAATTTATTCCCTAAAAACTTAGATTTTAAAATCCTCTGAGTAATGTACAAAATAATTTTTTTAATTTATTATAATTTACTATAATAATTTTGCTTTTTTTTTATTATGAAAATCTTCAAAATAAGATTTTTGTATAAGATAACTAAGTCCTACTTCTTATATTTTTGATGCATTCATCAAATCTTTCTTTTCTGTAAATATTTTTAATTGTCATCTATATAGGTCTTCAAATATTATATTTCAATGCTTGAAAAAGTTTCTCAATAAATTTATATTGATGTATTTAATAGCAAATGTTCAAAAAATTTATTATTGTTCTTAAATTTCAAATACACCACTTTCCATTTTTTAAGAGTTTGTGAAGAGCCACTTTATTCTAACTCATGTTAAAATTTTTTCCTTGGATTTTAGATATGAAGAAGCTTATTCTGTAATCAGTTTAAATATTATTAATATTGTATTTGTTAAATATGTTTCCATTCCATAATATTAATTAATGCATTTATTAATCAGGTATTTTTCACATTATTATATTATTTATTGAATTTTCTCTAGTTAATTCTTACAAAATTGCTTGACTGGTTTGCTTTTTAAAGTGTACCAACCAGCAGTTTACTTTGATATCAGTTAATGAAATACACTTGCAACTCCCTGAAACTATTTAATTTTTTTTTTCTTTTTTTTTTTTTTAACTAAAGCATTTAAAATTTTAACAAGCATTAAAATGATACACAAATTCTTTTCTGACAAAAATGTTATATAAAAAAAGTTTTCATTGCCCCCCTAAAAGAACTTATATAATTAATCTTATTATTGTTGGAATTTTGCCAAAGCACATGAGGGCTCTGTGCTTAAGAGGATGAATACCTTTGTGGAGGATTTTTGTGGGAATTGGCTTGTATTCACAATATGCTTGTGGAAAAACCACATAAAGCTCCCACAGGTTCATCTGTTTTACTGCTTGACTGCTAATGTGCACTATAATTAAAAATGGAGGAATATTTTCCAAATTGGGATAGTTTGAAAAATTCAGTTAGAAGAGTTCTGGAATAATAAATGCCATCTGCATACATACATACATACATACATACATATATATATATATGAAAGAAAAGCGGATACTTTGGTGAAATTTGGTATTCCAAAGCAGTTCTGTATCTTAAGATTACAGACGTATGGGACACCATGAAGTTTGGCATTGAGAAATGGCAAGGATATTTGTTGAGGTTATGCTAAATAATCATGTAGTGCAATTTCAGTTCTTATAGTTAATGCTAAATAATCATGTAGTGCAATTTCAGTTCTTAGAGTTAATGCTTGTCTTTTAGGCTAAAATTGATTTAATATAAAGTTTCTTTATACTCCTGCTATCCATTCATATAAAAAAGAATACTTTTGCACATCCAAGTTGCAAACCTAGAAGCAGAGATATTGATTTTACTATCTTCATAATTTATGCTGTTCAGCAAATGATTCATTTATTTAGAATTCTTTCATTTGTGCAGCATGTGCAGAGCATGTATGCGGTATTGAATGATACAGTTTTCTATTATAAAGCAGATACGTATTTTTAAGAAACAATCAATAGCCTCTATTCTTGATGTTTGTGTTACTGCCCCAAAATATATAAAATCATTCTTTTTAGAACATAAATTATTTAAATCAATTCTTGTTGTCCCTGATGTAAACTTTTGTGCTTTTCTGTAAAAGATTCATGCCTTTAATTTTATGCATATTTTTAGTTATTGTTTTCATACTGATGATTTGTAATCAGCTGTTAATTTATTCTTCATGAAAGTTTTCATGAGCCGAACCCTTTTCACATTTTCAAAGGAAGTGAGAATAATTATGAAAAAAAATTTTAAAAAGGGGTTGTAAGGGGGAAAAAATTGTTTAAAAATTTAATGAAAAAATCTTTGAATGCAAGAAATTCAGTAATTTTTTAAACAAAGTTTAGAGATTATATATGCAGATTAATTCTGTATAAGAAATATAAATCTTTTTAAAATGTTTATTTTGTCAAAGACCAGTTTGATAAAATAATTATTAAAACCATTAATTCCTAAAGTAAGGGGCAACAACTAAGGAAAATAATTTTTATGTTTTCAGTTATTAAAATGGATCATTATCAAGCATGCAGTTGCTTTGAAATTTATTTAAAGTAATAATCAAGCATGGTTTCCTAACATTTCTGTTCCTAAAAATTTTATTTAGTTGCGGTTAAATTTTATTAGTCTTATTTCAAATTTTCTAGTATTAGAACAAAATGTATGAACATAATTTTTAAGAAAACTGATGTTTTTTTGCTGCTATTACTAAGACATATTTGATGTTAAAGTATCTTCAGATACATTATCAAGCACTGATGATATATTAGTTGCAAGGTTAAAATTTTGCAAATATTTTTTGGAATTTACTAAAAATATATCAAAATTAAATATAAAGGCTTGATGCTTTTAATTAACTATAGTGATTTTGGTTTTGTCATATAATAACATTCCAAGAGGTTATTTAAATAGCTACATTAAATCTTTGCAATTAGTTGTGCATAACAGAATATTGTTCTTGTAATTTTAATCACTTTTAATAGCCTTAGTGAGAACTTTATAAAATTTGAATATGTGTTTCTGATGGTCATTAATTAATATAATCTTTTATACTATTACAGTTGCATTTGCTAGTATGATGTTTTGTGCTCTATATATGTGTGGAAAGCTGCAAGTATTCAACCAACGAGGACGTGGTCAATCATGTAGATTAGTTCTTGCATTATCTCCTCTACTTGCAGCTGTATTTATTGCTCTTAGTAGGACATGTGATTATCACCATCACTGGCAAGGTAAAATTTGCTTCTCATGTCAAATCTTTTAACCATAGTAAGATGCAATAAAGATAATAAAAACAGTACTTGTTTAGAAGTGAAGCATTAGCTAAGTACATTAGTCTTTTGAGCTGCATAGCTAACACTGATAGTATATGGTCCTTGATACACTGAGCTATTCCATTACTTATAATAGCGTACAGGAATTCTAAGATTTATGTTATTCACCCACTTTTAAATAATGTAGATGGATTAATTATTTATGCCAAAGGACTAATTAATTACACCATATTAAGTTTGCAAGGCCTGGTTGCAGTGGTGGAATGAGTTACTTAAGGAGTTTTGGGTGTAAAATTAGCATTTAAATCAACCATAAAAAAGGAGTAAAAATATCCATGCCAGCCAGCTCTTATCACTGCTGAGAATTGTTGTTTCTAACCCTCAAAGTTTCTAACCTCATCAAATCCATTGGCCATGATCACTCTTGCTGCCATTTGTATATATTTGAAGAGCATCTTTAGGTATATGATTGATAGTTTCAAAAGCCATCTATCTCATGAATTCAGGGTTATCAACATTTTTATGAACTTTTTTCAAAAGTTCAGTGTGAAAGTGGATGCCACTAAAGTTGCAGACAGGGTTAAAGCATGGCTTCAGAGAGTGACATTCAATGCGGCAAGGGGAAAGCAAAGTTACTTAAGAAAAGAGACCGTTTCTTTACAGTCTTACTATCAAGTTATTGATATTTTTTTTCAGATAGGAAGAAGTACTATTCTGGTCACCATAACTAAGAAGCTTATTGTAACATTTCGCAAGAAAAGAGTTCCTTCTCATACTCAATGGCTAGTTGTCACATTCAAATAAAACAATATTAATATTCTTAAGGCAACTATGCCTCAAGCCAGAAATGATTTTAACTGCAGTAACTTGAACTCTTTCCAGCCTGTTGAGATAAGAATCTGCAGCACTATTAAAATATATTTCTAGACAAGATTGGGAGTGGATGCCCCAACTCTGAAATTAACTTATACTTCCCTTATTAGACCAATTTGGAATATGGTTCCCCTATTTATTTCTGTGCTGCAGATTCTAATCTGAATTCTAATCTGCAGCACAGAAATAAATAGGGGAACCATATTCCAAATTGGTCTAATAAGGGAAGTATAAGTTAATTTCAGAGTTGGGGCATCCACTCCCAATCTTGTCTAGAAATATATTTTAATAGATTTAGCTTTTCCTGCATCTCAGTTCCAAAGTCTGGATGTGCCTATTGCAAAGAAACTCTTTGTCAGTAGTAAATCCCAAGTTCTTATCGTAAGGCAAGGTTTATCCATTCATGTTTGTAGTAAGTTGATAGTTATAGATGTGTCTATTAGTGATATAAAATTAGTCTTAGATTTACAAAAATTGAAAGTCAGCTTGCTTGCATCAACAAAATCACTCTTTTTAGAGTCTTTATGAATAAGGTTAATGCTAACTTCAGCGATCATGATAACAGAGTGCCAGAGGACAACATCGTCAGCAAAAATCTGAACTTTACATGTCTTATATATCACCTTGGCGATTCCAGCAAAGAACAGTGAAAAGAGCAATGGACCCAGGACTAAACCTTGGGGAATATCCTGACTAAGCCTGAAGTCTTTAGACAGGATATTCTGGAATATAAACTTGACAGTTCTGGCTTTTACAAAATTAGAAATCCAGGGTAGGACATTGCCCTTCACGACATATTCATCAAAAAGTATTATTAAAAGTTTATTATATGTCATACCCTATCAGAGGCCTTGGTCAAATCCAGGAAGAAAACCACTGTATGATTTTGTAGGCTATAAATTATGGGCATTTTTAACACTTTGGCAAAAATATAATATTTGATCAATGGTACAGTGTTCTTTCCTAAAACAGTCTTGCTCCTTTGGAAGCAGGTCATATGACTCAAGATAGTATGTAACTCTGTTTAGAACCAAATTTTCCATAATTTTACATGGAATACAAGTCAAGGAGATGGGTGTCCATAATTTTACATAATATTTTTTCTAATTATAATGCTTTGGTTAATTAACTAATTATAATGCTTTGGTGCAAATGTTGACAGTATGCTGAAGCCTATTTAAAAATAAAATGAATTAATATCTTCATGGTAAGTATGCAGTAGGTTTTTTTTTTTTCCTTTCCCTCCCTTTGGTAGAATTTTCTCAATAATAATATGGAAATTTCCTGATTCATATTTTGAACTTAATAACACAGTAATTTGCTGCAGCATTATAGTTAGGAAACACTGGTTTAAAATACCATATTAGGTAAAATGTTTGTTCAACTTCATCTGCTCTACTTTATGAAATCATAATTTAGTTTAAAATAATGCAAGAGTATTTTTATATCTATTTCTTGCAGAAGAATATACAAGTTTCATCATTATTTATATTTATGTCCAGAATAATATTTATTTAAATTAGGATAGACTAAAATTTTGCAGCTAAGATATTTAAAATATGTTAAAAATTTACCTCTCTTTTTATTTGAACTTTTATATCTTTCTTTTTATCAATAAAAATATGGCACTCTGATAGCAACATTCAAACACCTTAAGTAAATATATGCCAGGGTTCGTATGGTCCTTAAGAGTCCTTAAATTTTTTTGAATTGATTTTTTGGTCCTTAAAAGTCCTTATATTTGGCCAAAATCAGCAGAAGGTCCTTAATTTTAATCATCTGAAATTTCTGTCTGTTTTTATGACTGCCATTTTGAGTGTGAATTAGCATTTTAAAGGAATAATTTTTGCAATTCACTGACATATATGGTTATCTTTTGAATGTGTTCATGGGTTATAATTTGTTTCTATTTCTAATAAAAATGATGGGATACTCGAGTTTCTAAGCAAGAAGTGAAACATAAGCATTTCGAAATTCATTTTTTCTAATAGAGAACTCTTAAACAACTTTTCGCTTTTGGGGATGTGAATTCTTTTATTAAACATCTCTAAATTTGGTGACTTGTCAACATTTTGGCAATATTAGGATCAGTTTCTATAGAAAGTTTTTTTAATTCCGATATCTGAGAATTTTTTGACCAGTTTTTTTTTTTTTTTAAAGCATCATAACATTGATAAATTTCATTAAAATAATGGTAATATATTGAAATTATATATAAAAAATAGCATTAAAATAAAACATTTTATTTTTCGCTGTCATATTATAAAGTTTCATTTTGACAATTTATACAATATTATGAATCTGATAAATAAGGCATATTGCTATAAAGCATGATTTATGAAACAGCTCTTAGCAAGAGCAAAATTAGCTATGCAATTAATTAAAAATGTCTTTTTTTAATTTTTTCTCAGTAAGCATTTTTCCCATGCAATTGTCTCGGAATATTCAAAATTATCAGAATATGCATCACTTTTCTCTATAAAATTAATTTTACACTTTTTCCCTCCTTCTTTTTTTTCCAAAATATTTCTTACTTTTTGCTATTACAGAATTGGTAGGAATAATTTTTCTTTAGTATTTTAGACATTGCAACTTGGAAAGTTTAGAAGGGTTTAAGTCAAGATTTATAGACCCACGATTCCAGAAGATTCGAGACATATGTGACAAAATGAAAAATGTCTCCATAATATTGACACATTAATGGATGTATTTTACAGAAAGTTAGCGATGAATTTCTTACCTTTTGGAAAACGTCTGGGAGAACAATGAAAACATAATATTTGAATGTTTTACTCCTGATACTAGAATCTTTTTCTTAACATGTTTATCTTCCCTTTATTTTCTCTACCTTTCACTAGACACAAGCATCAAAAATGCTTCTAATCTTATCACTGGGCAGGCATTATAGAGGGGAATTTTTTTATTAATAAAGAAATTGAAAACTTACAATTTAAAAGATTCATCTAATATGCCTTAATGCATCATACACAGAGCTGACACTAGGCATTTTCCCACCTGATGCAATCTCTGTGGATCCTAAATTCTAAACGTTTTCCTATTTCTAGATTTTGTTGTTCGGTGTGTCACTAAATTCTAAACATTCTGCCACACCAGCTTTGTAAACGGGCTTTAGCATATATATTGCATATTTCTTCTGAATGTTCATATTACTAAAGAAATAGAATTATCCACTTTTTCTATACATTCTAAATGCATTTAGTGTTTTTTAGAATAACAGAAACAATTAGATCCAAAAATTCTAATATGAAAAGGAACCGTGCTGAAGAAAGAAATTGAAACATAAAGAAAATTATTCCTCAAAAATATGTGCAATTATTATTATGTAACTTACTCAATTGTCTATGATTTCAGCCTTCCAGTTTATGATTCAGTCGGGGGTTTGGCACTATTTAACTTTTACCAGATCAAGTAAACCCTCATAGGTACCCTGTGGAGATGTTGACAAGTTAGGAGATAAGCACGCAGAAACTAGCGAGAGCATTGGTTTGCATATTGAGACAACTCTCTAATTGTTAGAAAAGGTGCTTAAGGAGAAGGAAATCTATATAAACTAGCCAAAATGTTTGGAAAGACTTCAAATTAAAGTGAAGGATAAATATTTTGTTGAGTGTTGTTACAAAACATTTATGTTTTGTAACAACAAACAATGTTTTGTAACAACAAACATTTAGATTAGGATTTGATTGGGATACACATTAAAAGCTAATGTTTTGTAGCTTTTAATGTGTATCCTAATATCGTTTAAGAATCAATGTCATAAATTACATGTATTTTAAACTGTGAAATTTTATTAGATTTTGATTTTAATAGGCTTTTTTTAACAAATATTGTTAAAAAATAAAATTTAATAGTGGCCATGTAAATCCATAATGATTAAGGTTATATAATTACCTAAGTTAATTATTTATAACTATCTGCTTACCCTTAAAAATTATCTCTACATATTAAAGCAAGTTATTGCCTTTCATTAACACTTACTTTGGTCACAAGATAAAACACAAAAATTTAAAAATTCAAGTAAAACTTATTCTTTGCATCTAGTGAAACTTAAAAATAATACAAAACAACTTATCATCTCTGGTACTTTAATCGCTTATTGGAACATT